TTGGCAAGGAGTGTCTCACTGTATTTTGAGGGCAGCTTAACGGCGTTTTGGTTACGACTCTTGGTGGTTTATTCCCCTTGGGTTGTTTCTTCCCCTCTCGGCTCTGCCTACGCTCCACAGCGTAGGAGTTCTACAGCGCAAAAAGACATTAGATTAATATCACCATCTGAACAACCAAGAGAGAAAATATAAAAGTCGAAAACTTACCTTCCACCAACCCAGAGGGGTTTGACCAGATTCCACAGCATCGTGGCCATCCAGATACCTTTGCAGTTCAGCTTTGCGTGCCTCAGTGCCATCAGCAGAGGATTGAGTTGCCACAAAAAGTTCATAACCGTACAAATGTGTCTCCATTGGTTGGGAAACACTAGGAGAAGGTGAAGATGGTGTGTAAAGCTTCATTGAAGTGTTTCTTGACTGCCGATCTAGCATCTTCAAGATACTTGGGGTAGTGAAGCTCAAAAAACTTGAGACGTAGTTGAGGGTTGAGAACAGTGGCAACAATGACTGACTCGCAGTGTGACGCTTTGCTTTGGTATTGGCAGAGTTTGGGTAGCATAATGTTGATCATGTTGCGTATGGAATCAGACTTGGTCGAGGCCTCGATTGCCTCAAGTGAAACAATGATACGATGATACTCAGGTAATAGTATGCAACCTGAATGGAAATCAACTTCCATAGGTTTGGTTGACACACAGAAGATCTACACAGAATAAACAAACTGAGTCAGTCAAAAACTTGAATTAACCAAATTCACCTCTTGGAATTACCTCCAGGACTTGGTTCAAAACCTTGAGGGCATCCCATTCTTCAGGAGAAATGGAGAGGCCCTGGTAGTATTGTGTCTGACAATCTGAGGTCATAATTGCATTGGCCACCTGAAAAAACAATAGCTGGTCAGTTCTATGCAAGAAAAAAACTAAGCTAAGGTTACTTACATCACGTGCTAAGCACAATCGGTTGGAGACATCCAGATTGATGTTCCACCGTAAACCCCAGCGTGGAATTGGCTGAGGTCCCAGGTAGCCAAGCTGGGAGGACTTGCCTTTGAATTTGCCTTGACGTGCACCACTTTGACATAAAAGGCTATTAAACTTCCGAGCCTGATGATCATAATAGTTTTGTAAGTAAACAAAGAGCTGAGATAAAAACACATAGGGAATAAGAAACATGTACGGACCTTCTGATACCCAAAAATTACAGAGCACGTATTGTTTTCGATATCATCATCTGTTTCTTGATCATCGTCATCATCCGATTTGCATTTGTGCTCATAAGGGGGTATATCATAGTCATCTTCATCTGAAGTGGACTGATGATTTTCATCGATGTTGTCTGAGTCAGTGGTTTCAACACAAATGATTGGTATTGGCATCAACATTTTGTTGGGCTTTGAAGGTTTCATTTTGATGTCTTGATACCAAGGCTCTTGAGGCCTTTTTTCATGACCAGGCCTAACTTATGAGCATAACAACGTATGTGATTAGCATCTGAATCCCAAATGACCGGATCTTTGGCATTAGCAAAGATGGCTTTGAGCTCAACGGCCATCGTGTTGTTGTATGAGCCAGAGTCTGTTGTTCGACCTAACAAGTAAGAGTCAAAAAAGAAAAGCACAAAGTAAAGTCAGTATGTGAACACTGGGAAGGAGTGAAGAAATAAGAAATACTTATCTTCTTGTGAAGATCATGCTTTGTAAGAAAGTGGGTGATTGGCTGAGCAAGAAGCACACCATAATGATTCCATGCCCCAAGCTTGCGAGTAAGATGTGTTGTCCAATAGGTCCATTGCTTGTCGATGTATTTGGCTGAAACACAAATGAAGGCGTACTTGCTGCCTTTGGTAGTCCACACGTCCTGGATCAAACAGAATTGAGCATTGTTGTCCTGAATGTCAATATTGAGATTGATTCAGATCAGTAGTAGTACAAAAGAAGATATAGTTGAAAGTAGTAGGAAAGAAGATAGAGTTGAAAAGAAGGTAGGTAACTTACATGAATTTCTTTGATGATGGACATACTGAGATCGGCATAAAGTTCTTTCAACATGGATGCTGCCCATTTCGGAGTTTGTAAGGTAGCCTGTTGATTTGACAGCTTGAAGGCGGAACAGAGTGTTGGATCCTTGAATCGAGCGAATGCAAGAGCATGGTGTAGTATCCATATAACCATAACATGGTTGAAGAGATCAAGACTGAAAGTCGCCTGGGATAAGAAACTGTCCAGAGTACCTACTTTACCTGTTACAACAGGGGCCTGAGCGGCTTGCTGTTGCTTCCAGGTGCAAGGTAGGACCAGCCCTGCCTCTATCAACGTCGGACTGGTTACGTTCTTTTTGGCCGTCATCGCGCCGTACCGTAACTGGGTTACGCTATCAGTCGGGGCCAAGTTTTGATTACGACTTACAGGTGCGTTAGCACGTCTTGTGAGTGTATTTTCTTTAGGTGTCACTACGTTACCAATCATGTGACAGTCTTGGTGCTCAAATTCGACACGTTACATGTCATTTCGAGCGACCTGCGTTATCTTTCCGATATCGGCAATCACCACAATTGAAGAGGTATCAACCAATAGGTTGATCATCCTGGAGGATGATGATGTGACCAAGTGGTTGCATCATCAACTCACCAGACCAACCATCAACCCCAACAATAGATGGTTGAACGATTCAAATACCAACACTCCGACTTCTAATGTAAGTTTTCTCTTACTTTCTCCGTAATCATCAATCCGCTCTGGTTCTAATCCTTCCTTCCTTCCTTTTGATTTGACCTCATTCCAATATCCCTAGTCATCCCGTTTGGATTCTCCCAGGTCTCAACTCATATCTTCCAACATGAGTAGAGCATCTGGGTATGAGACCAATGAATCCCAACCTCGGCGAACATCGCGCATTACTACTCCTGCCCGATTGGACCCCGGAATGATTCAACCGTCACAGGACAGCCGTTGTGGTCTCTTCCTTCCGCCTTTGCAACTACATTCTTCCATTGCAAGCTCAGCAGTCAATCCAACTGGCCGCAAACGAGGCCGAACTACCTCTATATCCGATTCCGAGACGGCCTCGAGCCATGTTCCCTGTAACCAGCCTCACAGGTCCAACCTCACTGGTAACAAAAAGAAGAAGAAGATCGGCCAGAAGAAGCCTGTGAGTCTTCAGAATAAGACCTCCCTGACCCAATCTAAATGAAATCACGTGAGTTACCACCCCCGTCACATCCATTCAATCAAAAGCCCAAGTCTGACATGACTATCATCATTGCAGGCTGTTTCCACTGCTTCAACGGTTACGGCTGCTTCCGGAAAATTGAACCCAAACAAAGTGAGTACTAGATCCACATGTATCTTTTGAAGCAGCTCCGCTAATTGGTTGGACCTTTGGGTTTGGTGTAGAGCACTGCTTCCTCAGTATCAGGCCAAGGACCATCCATTGATCTGCGCCAAGACTCTGACGAGGAAAACACTAGGATCAGAAAACGATCGAAGACTAACCCAGACCCAAAGGAGGACAATTATGATGACATAGCTTTATACTTTGGAGCACCAACGGCTGGTGACAAGGATGTAAGTGTGGCCCAGTCTCTTATACATATTATCTTTCACTTGTTCCCTTTGCAAAGTTCAACTGATAGGAGTTTGTGTTTAGGATCCGAATGTCCCTTTGGACTACACTTGTCTCTGGTGTAACAAAGTATGTTGAGGTCACAGGACGACTCGATCAAATCTCAAGATCCACCGTGATAGCTCTAATCAGGCTGGGAGGTCCAAGGTAGGTTGCCCCCATCATAAGGAAGCCATTGCTTGCGGCTGCAAGCTTCCTCCAAGTGTTGCCGAACTCGACGCCAAGAAAATGGCAAACACCCATAAGGTTTCGACAATGAAAAACTTTGTGACTATCATGCCAAAGTTTGATATGAAGGTATTCAATCGCCTCTTGACACTATGGCAGGTACGGCAAGCCTTGCCATGGTCTTGAGTTGAAGACCCACTTCTTCAGGCAGCTTTCTATTACGCCCGGGCTGATGTGCGACTTTACAACCGTGAGTGGACAGCCAACAAGACTAAAAATCTCCACCTTAATCTGCGTGACACTGTCCACAGTGAGCTCGAGGTGAGTTAACTTCATCCTCTCTCATGTTTTTGTTTGATATATTCGCTTATATGATGATATTATATTTCTTGCTTTTATTTCTTTCATCTTATAGTCCATTCCTGGAAAGTTCACGTTGACACATGACGTTTGGACGGTGAAAGGTAATTTGTGGGCTTTTGTTGGAGGTGTCGCTAGCTTTATCGATGACGACTGGAACTATGTATCGCGCCATTTCACCTTCAAACGAGTCGCTCATCATCACAAGGGCTCTTGGCTTGCAGAGCCTCTGGTAACTGTCCTGAAGAAAGGAGGAATCTACAAAAAGATAAGCATTATCGATTTTTTCATATAACCAATTTTTATTCATTTCATCCGCTCAATAAGTTTGCTGACATGAAATGTTAAACTATTACATGCTAGCTCATACAACTGATTCGGTGTCAAAAAACGTGACATTAGCCGCTGAGATGCATGAACAACTGCAAGAACATGATGCGTATTCATCGGATTACTCATGGGATCCTGAGACCATGCACATCAAGTGCATGTGTCATAAGATTGGACTCATTGTCAATGCCGGGATAGCAGCTCTCGGCCTTCCAACCAACCATCAGTGTCACTCTGTCCTTTGATTTTTTCCCGTCACCAGATGATTTACCGACCATCGAAGAAAATCAAGATGATGAAGAAGATATTGAACCAGCAATTCTCGTTGGAACCTCACCCTCTGACGAAGAGTCCGATGTGGAACATGATGAATATGAATTGAGCGATTCTGAGGAAAAAGCAGCTGAAGAAGCTGAGGACGAACACTGGGACATGGAAGCCATCGATATCATACCTAAGCCGACCAAAACTAAGTTGACTGGACTGAAGGTTTTGACACAAGACGTATGTATTTCAATGACTTCATTAACATTCAACTGATATTGATAAAATGATATTGTCACAGCTGGACTTTGTGGTGAAGAAAATCACACAATCCTCGGCATGGCGCGAGGATTTCAACACCCGACGATTGGATCCCAGGCAAAAGCGACCGGACGGTGATGGACCTGGACGCTCATTGATTTCAGGTCACGGAATCCGTTGGAATATATGTCTGGACCGCTGGGAGCGAGCCTATGAGAATCGTGATGTAGGTCCACCACTTATTGATCAAGTTATTGCCTGACCTGATACACCGACTTTGGTCAAGCAGGTTATTGATGACATGTTGAAAGAAGACGCGGCAAAATCTCAAATGAAGAAGTCTAGAAATCATAAGAAAACTTCTAAGAAACGATCTGGGTATTTTCAAGAGACTTTCTTCTCCATTTCCGACTGGAGAGATGTCAGAGATTTATTGGATGAATTGCGAGTAAGTCCTGCCCTCTCACCGCTTGGTCATGCTTATGACATATTACTGACATAGCAGCCTTTCAAGACTCTGAACAAGCGCATGGAGGCCAATTCACCCACTGGGTGCATGGTCCTTGCTGAATATCATAATCTACTGACATCTTTGTCATCTCGATCTGCGGCACTTCCACCTGACGATCGCATGCAGCCCTTTCTGAATGCGTGTATTGAACGAACGAAGATATACTTTGAAGAAGCGCTTGGTTGCAACACACTTCTCACGGCCGCGGTGTGCCACCCTGCCCTTCGCTTAAGATTCTTTGATCACGCCCTTGGACCGGATCATGCAATAACCAACCACACTACCGAATACCTTAAGACCCAGTTTACACAACGCCAGTCTCAACTGGATGTTACCTCTGGAACACCGGACAGTCCTCATCCCGAAGCGCCTGAAACCCATGTGCCTGATATATACCGACTTTATCAGACTCACAAAACCACATCTGTAGCTAGTGAGTTGGACCTCTATTTGAGGGGTGACGACCCCTTGGTTTCACCTGGTGTGGAGAACGGTCCGGAGCCGGTTCTTCAATGGTGGAAGGTCAGTACACCTGAATTGAGAGAGCTGTTGTTGGGCATTTAACTAATGTGTTGCGTTGATCTTCAGGAACATCAACACAAGTATCCTGTACTGGCTTCTTTAGCACGAGACTACTTATCGGCTCCGGGATCATCGGCTGCAGCTGAGCGAACTTTTTCAGCTTCAGCGGATGTGGCTACTGCTGTGCGAGGGCGTTTGGCCCCTCGCACCATTGAGATGTGTGTTGGCAGTCGTCTGTGGCTACGTGAGGGTGTTCCTATTACGGACGATTACAAAGAGGTTGGTTTGGTCATCCAAGCTTGGGAAGAATCCGTCAAGAAGGCCAAAACAAAAGCAAAGGATAAGGCCCCTCCTTAGCTTTGTTGATCACAATAAATCACTTGATCGAATTACAAATTTATTTCCCAAATCTGTTCTTATCTTTTCTCAGCTTCACAAATAAAAAAAATTAAATCTAAAAAAAATCAATTTTCCTCGTTGCTATCATAAAATAAATACTTTACTTTCTTTTTGTTGAACAAGAATTGTGACCAGGTGTCTTGTTTTTTCCACTTTTTCTTTTCTTTGCTGATTTTTCTTGTGTGGAGGCCAAAAAAACGTTGTGTTCCCACTTTTTCTCGGCCACCTCCGTTGTGTTTTTTTTATTCCCGCCGCTCTCAAGTCTGTATCGTTGCGTGCAATATGAAATATGTTACTCTTGTGTTACGTTACACACCGTGCCGTGTGAGAATTTTTTTGGACCACTACGTTATCCAAAAACTGGTGAGTAACGTAATTCAGCGTAACGGTCCGACATTGCCTCTATGGCCAGGTGTCAATTTGGCAATGATGGTCGATCCTTTGTGCCATCACGGTGGCTGTAAAGGTTATAGTTGCTGGTCTTGCCGCGAACAAACCTGCCATTGCACCACCTGCATTTGAATCCACGTGGGTTGGTCCCAGGCTGTTGATTTGAAAGGGAAATTGGATTGAAAACAATGGAAGTGAAGCAAAGGAAGTGAAATGAAGGAAGAAAAACAAAGGAAGTGAATTTGTGGGAACAGACTAATCAGACTAAGGAAAAAAAAGAAGAGATACCCCACAGACCTCTTTTTTAACATGGACTAGGGGGTGATAAAACTCAAACCGTTGGCCTACTCGAGCACACTGATCTCGACACGCTCCAGATGATACGATCTCGACATCTGAGCTTTGGACTAAGTAGATTCAGTCTGGGACTTCAACATCCTAAGATTCAAATAAAAAAAAGATTCAAAGAAAAACAAGAAACGAGTTGAAATGAAAGATTAGAGAATGAAAGATGTAAAATAAATCAATCTAAAACTTAAGAAAGATGAAAAAAAGTTAATCACTGACCTCAACAGCAAGACGCTTGCGCTTCTTAGCTGTTCCGGTTGATCGGATCTTTGCTTTGGACTTGAACATGGCTGGCACTTTACCTTTGGTAATGCCACGTTGTCGAGACAATTGACCCTTTTTCAAGACTCTGGACTTCTTAGAGGTAGAAGCTCCCTTACTAGATTGGGATTGAAGGATGATTGAGTCATTGGTCTCAGTCTGATCAGATTGATCAGACTCAGAATTGTCCAATACTGAGACCAACATGGGTTTGTCGGAGGCTGATCCAGGGGACTCAGAGTCAAAACTTTTGGACGGTGTAGAACTCTGTCAGTACACAGCTGAAAGCAGAGCCAAGAAGGGGAGGAATGAAGACACAAATCACAACACACACAATCAAAAGAGGAATAAGTCTTGAGATGGTGAATTGAAAGACTTCAAACAAAGAAAGAAATGCCCTTCTTAAACAGGGACTTTGATTACTGATGAATTAGATTTAAAACCTTCAAGTCTTAGGATTAATAAAAACCAGGCTGAAATAGGACAATAAAATCAAAAGTAGCAATATCTAGACGCACTCAGGCACCTTCAAAATGTGCAAATGAGCATACAACTCAACAAGAAATTCATTAAAAGATGAATAAGGGTCTTATTATTATAAAATGCCAACTTTCACTAGTTGTTTACCTGAATGATGATAATAAATTATACAAGCTTATTCTAAAATTCTAGTAATTATTTTTGCTAACTAAAAGGCTACCAAAGGTGGGAAAAGAGACACTTGTATATATGAAAAATTAACAGCACACAAAAAGAGAAAGTGAGACAAAAAACACCCCCCAAACTCGAAATCCACCTTCAAACAGCTTTTTCACACACAAATCATTGAACAAACCCCAAATTAAAATTGATAAACATCTTCAACACACCCACATGTATCATTGACACATTTTCAAGCACACATTTATCATTAAAACTGAGCTGTCCGCCATTTACCCTTAAAACTTGAAATAAAGATATGAAATATGGACTGTATCAAAATTCTGAATGGATGGAAAGAAAGGTCTGCTTCCGCTCTACAACTTTGCTCAGCCAAGCCAAACTCTAACTCTATTGGTTGTACCCTTAAAATGAAATTTACTTGCGTATGAAAATACTCAAAATTGGATTTACCCAGTTTACCACCTGATATTACCACTGATGATGATGTATATGGTTTATAATTGATTTTTCATGTTCATACGCGAAAATATAACCCTCCCCAACTTACTTCTAGGCTGAAAAGATGCTGTGATACCCTAAAATTGAAGTTGTATGATTGAAAATAGCACTTTTTATGATTTTGAAAGTGATTTTTGAGTTTCAAATCCTCCCTTTGCATATGTAATGTTTAATTTGCCAATTCTGGTGTTTGATAATCCCATGAATCCATCTTCTTGCTTTTTCAGTTTACCACCCCAGTTTACCACCATCTGTCTGAGTTGTTGGATTTTCAATATTTAGCCTTATTTAAACCCATACCTCAAAACCATGATTCCTCTACACAACACATTAAACCCATACATATCTTGAGCCATGACTATCACAACCCATAAAATTTGAACTTTCAACTTGAAACCTATATACTCCCCATAACCCATATATCACTCAACTACACATAAGTTCTAAACCCATAATTTTGACTTTTGGCTTCATTTTACACTACACCCCCTACACATAACCATTACACTCAAAAATCAACATGTAACATAAAAATAAAATGAAAGAAAATGAAATATGCTAAAAGAAAATGATAAAAAAAATGAATTGTGTATTTGTCTCTTGAATACTTTTGATTACTACAACAGATGAATCAAAGCACGACGAGAATCGGGAGATTGAAAAACAAAGCCGGGAGAAGGGAGAGCCACAGTTTGGCGACGGCGAAGATTATGAGACGGGTTAGGTGAAGTTGGTTCACTTTGAGCATTGTTGGTGGGTTTAACTGGAACTTGTAGAGACACTTTGGAAGTTATTGGGGGAAAAGAACAATGATCAAACTAAAAAAAGCAGAATGTGATTGATAAGACAATTAGAATACTACTAGACACCACAAACAAGGAGAAAGTGGATGAAAAAAAAGACTCTTACTTACCTCATTGGAAAGGTATTTATACTCTTGTCGAGGGTGGTTGGAAGCTGAAGCAGTCGTGTAAGGCAGTGGCAGCAATGGGGTCCTGAAAGACGTGGATTCACAGTCATGGTCACAAATAAACTTGGATTCCCATACTTGGCAACTAAGCTCATAGAATCTTGATATAGTTGCTGCAAATGCCGCGGTCCTCCTCGGAAACTCAAAGGCAATACAATACAACACCCAAGCACTGTATCATCCACCTCATTCCCCAAAGCCTCTATGGCTCCGCTGTACATCTCTGCCCGAATTTCCTTTTGATGATATCAAAGGTATTGCAGCCTTGACCGTTCCACGCACATGTACATGTCTACCAAAAACTCCTGAAATAGACCACCAGATGCTAGAATCACAGACAACTCTGGACGCCTGAACCAAAAATAGGCAAATCAATACAGATTGGAGACATCACCCTCCGGATCTGCAACAACACGATTAATTAATAGTCACTTAATCAATTACTCCTCATTCACATGTCTGATATTGCCACAAAGCTACTTACTTGATGGAGTTGGATTTTGAAACAAATCATGCCACATTTGAGAACTGTAGAGGAATAAAAGCGGATATTGTAGCGCAAAATAACCGGTATGCAGTTCTGATATCCTCTTCATGACTCCGAATTGACGCATGAGGATAATATCTTGCCTTTTTTCATCCACTGTACCGTTTCCGTCTATGATAGCTGCAACATCACTTGCCGCCGGTAAATTATAGCGCCATGCGTCAGAACCCGGAGTCAGAATCGTCTTGATCCTCAGCATCTTAATCACAGTCCCGTTGCAGATGTCGTGGGCAGATTTCAAAACCTAGGAATGAGGGCTTTAGAGGTACATGAAGTCTTGAAAAGCCAGGAGGATTTCTGGATCCAGATCAAACTCAGATTGGCGTGATCTGAGCCTAGCTTCTTGCTTGCCTCCACCACCATACGTAAAGATCTGTCTGAAACCAGGGTCACCTCCAGGTAAAGTCATGAGTGAATTGATATTGTGCGAGAGTTGTCCGGTGATTCTGAACACGTAGTGACCCGATTGCCCCAAGACGTCAGGATCCAGCGACATTAGTCTTTTCACAAGGCCCGATGTGTAAAGCGTGTCCATGTTAACGTACCTCAGTGTGAGCAATGAACGAATTAGGTAGGAAGACGGAAGCGACTCAATCTTCCCCCCTTTGGGTATCTACGGATTTCCGGAAGCTTTAGTAAGCAGACCTCCTACTCCAAGACTTGCGTCACCAGTTAAAGTAATTCCGTGGAGAAATCCATGGGTCATAAATATAAGACAATGCTTACCTCAGACTCCCCCCCTGCTTTGCCTGTCTGTCTTTTCCGTCTTAGAAATTATCAATCTGTTCCACAGATCCTTCTTGAAACTGTTTCTCCAATCCTATCTTAATATCTAATATTAAGAAGAAATTTTTGTTCTATTTTAAATCAGTAAATCCAGAAAAAACATCCTATTACTAAATAAATTTAAACATTCCCTAATCGTTATAATTAGAGTACCATAGAACACTTTCGTGATTGTATAGCGTACAAATTTTAAACGTACCAATTTTTAGTTTTTATCTTTAAACCCTCTATAATTTTTTTTTTAAAAATTAATTTATCGTTTCCAACTATAAAGTAGACAGCATCTATAACTATTTCAAGCCAAAAAGTGAACAACAGATCAGCTCAACATGCTAGAGGAGAAGATCCAATTACAAACCCCTCAGAAATCCCACCGCCGTCAGCCTCATCAGTAGGAGGCCAACCTCAAGTCGATCTACGAACTGAGGATGAAATTGAAGGCACTGATGACCCTAGCGGGGTAGGTTCAGGTGAGAAAGAAGAAGAACTAGACGGAGAAACCATTGATGAAAACCAAAGAGACAAAATAGCTAGACAGATGGAAGACTACCACACGGGTATAACAGATTTGTCAGCCTCACATAACAACAACGATCAAAACGTAAACTTCATCAACTCCAATTCCGAGGAAGAAAACGAAGAGTCAACCGCAAAGAGCACATCCGGAAGTTCCTCTAATTCATCATCTGGTGGCTCATCAGAAAGCTCATCAGACAAAGATTCCAATGAAGATACAGAATCAAACGACTCCTTGTCAACGGATAGCAAATCAGACTCATCTTATTCAAGTAACAAGAAGAATAGAAAATGTAAGACCCAATCTTTTAAAAAGATCCTAGCTCCACAGTAGCCACTCCCATTGATAGAGCACCTCCATGTTAGGGGAAGAGACAAGTTTACGTCTTCAAGAGTTGAATCAACAACTCCCAGTTTGGTGTCGTCCACTAGTAAATCGCTTGAAGCTAACAAATACAATTTGTTGTATTTATGTAGGCAAGCTCAAGTCGATAAAGTCCCTAGACAAGGCAGTCGAGAAAGCAATCAAGATGAGAGAGAAGTTTAACTCGGAAAAGAAAGATTCATCCCAAGCTATGAAGGGTTAGTCCATTCCATCAATGATGAAGTCAATTTAGAGACAACCATCATAACAACAGCCCATATTTAAAAACATTTTTTCTTTTTTGAACGCTACAGAAAAGAAAGATCATGGGAAAGGCAAAGCAGGAAAGAAGAAGAAGTCATCCTCGTCAAAAAAGACTAAAGTATCCAAGCAGAATGGAATCAAGTTTCAGGCAGGAGTACCTTGTAAATCGCTATTACCGACCCTCCAAACCTACTGGAATGAGGCGATGTTGAAACTCAACGAGAAAGTTCCATTAACAGTCCTTAACCCAACCTTTGTACAACACGACCAAGACGAAAGTCACAAGAATCAATCTTCCTCGTCATCATCTAAGAAGACTCGAAGTAAGTGGGAAAATGTTCAGTAACGTTAAAAGTATAACCAAATTGATGGACCCGATGATTCAATTAGACAGAGGCCTTAACCCCCCTTCCGAATACCAAATGACTTTCGGGGAATGGATTGATGGGATT